TTATTTTATTTTTTTTTGTTTGGGTACATAGGCACATACAGTTTTCATTCTAAACAAATATACTGAGCTTAAAACTCGTAAAGAGAAAAGTAGATACGTTACGAATTTATTAATTAGTTTCAAATTTAAAAGAGCTAAAAAAGAGCTAGGGGCTATAAGCAAATTCTAGCCCCAAAAGCATCAAAATGGCAACACGGCTGAGGGCCTAAAACACTTCCTTAAAGTACGCCTGATGTGGAAATGACGGGAGTAGAAGATTCACCCTCAATCGTAACCAGACAAAGCCTTTTAATTAGATTTGATTCCAACCATTGAAGGAAAACCGAGAGAAAACTGAAAGAGCCCAATTTAGATAAAAGACACAGAGTTAAAAGCTGTGAAGAAATCTGTTTAGACGCAATGTACTTGAAGTTCGGATGAAAATTATTTAATGCTATATTCACTGAAAATGGCCAGGCTAGAGACTGTGGACCTGCCTGATACAAAACCATTTTGGTTGGAAGAAATTAAACTTTTCGTTGCTCTGAAAAATATTCTGAATATTTCTGAAAAAAAAAACAAAAAATATTTCGTGCTCTGTAATGATAGCTTCGAATAATTTGGAAGTAATCGACAGCTTGGGAATTCGTTTATTTTTTCGCACATCCTCGAAGACTCCGCTGGCTAGTGATTTATCAAAGATTATTTTTAGTGGAGTGACAATATGTAGTTGGAGATTTTTTTAAGAAAATTACCCAAAGCCCCTCCACGTCAGTCTGAGATGATGGCATCAAAGCAAATATTCCATCTGAGATGTCCTCAGAGGAGAGATTCAAAATATCAAAATTTAGAGGAGAAGACTGATTATATTCGGGAAAAGTATAGGTGTCCCCATTGTCTCGGACAAAATTTGACTGGAAAAACTGTGCAAATAAATTGGCCACCTCACTAGGAGTGTTCATAACTTTATCATCCAAACAAACAGGAGTTGGTGGATTTGATGTTTTCTAAAAAGCCTTAGGATCGATTTGATATTATTATCAACACTAAGTATGTAATTCCTATAAAGGAATTCATTTACACAATTACATTCTTTTAAACAACACTAATATTTAATGCATAATTATTGATCCTTACTTTTCGTATACTTTTTGTAGAATTTATTACGCAGATTTTTAAGTTTCTTTAACTTAGGTGTATACTATGGAAACTTATAACGCCGTTTTTTTTTATTCGGGGAATATTAGAGAAACATATGAGCCGTTTCACTCCGTTTGTGCTTACTTTTGTTACAACGCGTTGGTTATTCGTGCAACTTCATCGACCAAAGGTAGAAGATTTTGTCGTTAGTTTCTGACATTAGAGCGATTTACAGATGCATATATCCAACAGTGTCGATTTAAATGCATTAATGCAGTAAGTTAGATTTAAGCCCGACATAATATCTTCCCAAATAATACACATAACAGATAACTGCGGGGGTGCTCCCAAAAGTACGCGGCCTAACCTAGAGATGGCGGTAGATGTTTGGAAAATATCGCTGTGTTAAAAAGTACATAATCTATAAAGCATATGTTTCAAGTTTGAAGACTCCATATTGTTTAGTATATGCTATAAAATTGGTCATCGTTATGCGATACAATACTTTTATTTGAAAGGCCGCAGCCCATCCAATATAAAAGCTGAAATAAATTATACTTTGGGCGGGTCTACTCCTTCGTTTACAACAGTAAAATATTGGGTAGCAGAGTTTAAACGAGACCGTACGAGCTGCCAAGACGAGCATCGCAGCGGTCGACCAAATGAGGTGACGATTCCAGAAATGGTGAAGAAAATCCACAAAGCAGTAATAGATGATCGTCGACTGAAAGTGCACGAGCTAGCAGATATAGTAGGTATTTCAAAAAGTACGGTTCATCGCATATTATCTGAAGATTTGAAAATGAAAAAGCTGCGTCCAAGATGGGTGCCGCATTTGCTCACACTCGACCAAAAACAGTGTCGTGAAGAGGTTTTAATTGTGTGTTTAGCGAATTAATGAATTAATGTTTGAATTCCTACCTCATGCACCCTATTCGCCAGATTTAGCCCCCTCGGACTACTTTCTGTTCCCCAACTTCAAAAAATAGCTCCGTGGTCAAAGATTTTCTAACAATGAAGAGGTGATGTCGGCAGTTAATGGCTGGTTTGAGAATCAAGATAGTTCTTATTTTAAAAAGGTTATCGAACTTATTGAGCATCGCTGGGAAAAGTGTATAGAGCTGAAAGGAGATTTTGTTGAAAAACAAATATATTTTTCCCAAAATTTTTGTGTTTTCTTTGTTAGGTCGGGTACTTCTGGTACAACCCCCATAAGTCTAGATAAGCCAATTGTTTCGTCAGGTTTGCTGATAGAAAACTCATAAAATTCCACTCTAAATAGCATTGAAAAATGGTTTCTATCACCGGAAAAGAAGGGGAAAAGATAACTATTGAAGGATAGTAGAATCAAAGTTTCCAGTAACGAAAATGAGTTGTTCTACAAAACTCGCAAAGAAAAACTTTACGTTTAACTTAAATTATGTTTAATTCAGCACTGAAAATGCTTTTACCATAAACTGTAGCCAATAACTTGCCGGCTGCTGGCCTACACGCCATTGTAAGCACTCCCAGTTAATTTGTTTCGGGCGGCGCTCAAGTGACTCAATTAAATGATAAATCAACAATATCTAGCCAGCAACAAATTTCCAGGAGATCTGGTGCATTTGATGTGCCGATGCATCAATACACTAAGCTAATACAAATGCGCATCCATATGTATGTATGCATACATATGTACGTGTGTATGTGGCTTACTGCTTTGTTGATGCAGTTACGGTGTGTTTTAAGTAACACCAAGCAACAGCACGAAAACAAATGAATGCTCAAATGCATCTGGGAAATAAACTATTGCACAGTGTTTGGAAATATGAAGTTCAGATCACAAAATATAAAAACCGCAATTTGACAGAATGTTAACCCGCAATGCACCAGCACAGGCATGATGAGCTAGTTATGGAGTGTGTTTTTGTAGGACGGGAGAGGACCTTACGCGTCAATTTTCTACTCAGTTCAAAGTAGCACTTGCTGCAAAAGTGGCGAGGGTCAGCTCCTCCATTTACCAATTTGACGAGGGCGCTCTGCTTAGCTCCGACCAGGAGACGGATGTCGAGTCGGTCTTACGAAGTACCAGTTTAGCATAATGCTAAACAACACTTCCCTCGCAAATACATAAAGATGGTGCCAGCCAACGCAAGGTGGGCACAAAAAAGGGTAGTATAGTCAATAGTGACAACTATTAGTCAACGTAGTGAGAAAATTATTAGGTTAAAGTTAGCTGCAGCTGGAAACACAGATTCTGTCGCTATATGACTCATTCTTTTAAAAAAGAGGAGCCGATAGCTGGTTTCTCCTTAGATAGAAGTAAGGACTGCCCGGAGATATAGCGGTATGTTCATAAACCACCTGCACGTTGCGCTCATACATGATATGTCTAATGGCGGCAAACTAGTCCTCGAAAAGTAACCAGAGATCGAAGTCCGGCTGTCGGGCTTAGCGATGGAGAGCATGCTATCCAACCCCGAGGGCCAGCAGAAGTCATAAAAAGTGATTCGGGCCGAGAACGAGATCTGCTAGCAATTCCTTCCCAGGAGTATGGCTGAGAACAGCGATGCATGGTTGGGTCTCAAGTTCAAACTTTTCTGGCGGACTAAATTTCGGCGAGACCTCACTCACACCTGGATTGGCATATCCTAACTAACGATGGATAAGGCAAAGCCTCCGGTTTATGGCGTGCCTTTTAATGGTGTTACACAAAGAGGAGGGACCAACAGTTTTACGCCGCCTCCGAACGCCGATTGTATTTTTGTGAGAAGCTGTTTTTCATAGTAGAAATACACTCGGAATATGCTGTTATCTGCCGAGGGGCGACTACTATTAGAAAAAAACTATGATTTTTAGTTATTTTATTTTGTGGGTTTGGATTCAACCAGGCCCTGCGGAGTGGTAGCGCGCACTGCTAACAACTGCACCACAGCGGCCGCCAAGAACCTCCGATTCGAAATTTTTTATCCCCATCGGTAAGCCGAAAGCCAGTGTCCTGACAAGAAAGGTAGAAGTGTTTCTCTGTCCTTCTTTCAGCACTGATGACCTGACAGTCAAAAGCTTAACAAAACAATAAATGCTTCTATGAAATTTCAGGATCAGATGGTTGTTCTTTAATTACATTGCTAAAAAAAAATTGAAGTAAATATTTTTTACGAGTACTGTACCCCACGTAAACGAGCTTAGTTTGAATAAGTTTTAATTTTTTCTGTGCGAATAATTTTTTATTTTTTTTTGTTTTAATTAGGCACCAAAGACCTACAGTGCACTTTGGTATGTTTCTTTTGTGTTGCTTGTATTGTGGCGGCATGCAGCAGGCCATAAATTAACACAACCAACACATTTTACTCCATTGCAACAACATTAGGGAAGACAGCAAACTATGTGTGTGTAGGTGTGAGTGTATTCTTGTTATTGCACTTTTCCTGCCTTTTAATAATGTTTACAAATGGTAGGTAGGCAGCCACTTTGGTTTGCTGTTGGCATAGCAGCTATGGATGTGCACAGCCACAAAAACAAGCAAATAAATACATACACACATATGTACATATTTATTTATATATTTATTTAGTGATTGTGTGCATTGACTAACAGCGTGCGGCATAACAAATGCCAATAACAAAACACCTTTGAAAACAAACAAACAGCACGTGAGTTACGTTTCATCAGTGGAATGATCTGGCAACGGGAGGGAGGATGAAGAATTGTGAGTAGGGACATTCATTCCAGCAATAACAACAAATACATATGTAGCACGATATTTTTTCTACAAAGCCTCACTTTTTTAATAGATATATAAGTAGTATGCGCATATGTACGTATGTATATACATACATGTCCCAGCGTGTGTTTGGTGGTGCGTATGAATTCTATGTATAAGCAATTGATTAGGTACTTACCAGGTGGTCCTGCTGGACCTGGTGGCCCCTCAATGATGCCGGTGGGAAATTCGTCACCTTTAATGGTCGTTGTAAGGCCACGATCACCGCGGTCGCCTTTGTCGCCCTGCAAAGGATAAAAACAAAAACAAATAAAATAAATATAAATATTTTGTGCTAGATAAATGGGAAAACACAGACACAGTTGGAATGTGGGATGGAGACTACACTGATACATATATACATATGTGATATTGATGTAGCTCTACTCATAAATAAAGATATGTTAATTTTTATTGTTATGCCCATAGAGTTTAGAAGACACGTAAGCTAAAATTGAGAGAGGAAAACACTAATGTCTTAATACCATAAATAAATGATAAGTGATGCGACAAAGCCTGCATAAATATGTATTGTTAGACTGCACAGACAGCCAACAAGACAGTTATTTAGAGAGACGGCACATTTCATATTCATAGTCAGATTGATATCACGCTATTATCAAATCACTATCTCACACTCGACAGTGCAACAGATACCTACTCTTACTTAGGTACGTTGGGGTGAGTGCAGACACATAAATAAGTATCCATTTTGAGAGGATAATAGGCTGCGTTTGCTTTTATATAAAATTGGAATAAAAAGGTGCATTTTGCGGGAAAGCATTGTTGTGGACACAAAAGCATCATAGCGGATAATGCAGCTGCATTACGAAGGTTGTATATCTGCATCGCATATCATTTTCATTTTCGATACCATTTTCGTTTTTAATTTTCATTAGGGGTATTCACGATTCGGTGCATACTGACTAGCATTGTGTATAGATGGCATAAATTAGCATGATTGGCTAATTTTGCAGCTGTTTGAACACATGAAACAACAACAATCATGCTATTTATGCTATGTATGCACAGTATGCGCCGGATCGTGAATACCCTTATTGTGATGTGAAGGATGTGTGCATAAATTTACTTTTGCCAACATATGTGTGTGTGTATGTATGTACATAAATATGCATTTGCTTACTGTTTATTGCAAACGGGCCCGTCGATAGGGAGGGGGAAATACCATAACCATAACTTGTTATTATTTTTTTTACAATGTAAACGCTCCTTCGTTATAGGCTTTTATTATAAATATATTCCGATTCGTGTCGACTGTTTCTGACTATATACATTAAAGAAAATGATCACATGTATTTAAAGAAATACAATTTATGTATAGGTGCTCGTGATTTTTCAGTCGGGGACCCGAGATTTCTCTCGACAGCCCTGATTGCAAACAATAACGCAACGGCTCTTCCTTTTTTTATGCACTATTTTGTTACAAAGAAGTTGTAAGGGAATTTGAAAAGAAAGTGAAAAATAGTTTTCGTTAGCTATTTATATTGATTAAAAAATTTTCTTTTAAGAAAATTTTATGTAATTCAGGTATTTGGTGACTGAGTTGAATTATACGCGATCTAGTAAGTAAACTTGCAAAACAAAAACCTGCGCTATTGTGACTACTTCTCTGAAAGTTTGGTTAAGTTAGAAGCGCGTATATCAAAAAGTAGATACGTTCTTCCGCTCGGAGACATATTTAGTTAGCCGTTGTGAGTGCTTTCACGTTTTCCTAACCCGTGTTCCTTTTACAAAGTGGACATAAATATTGTTCAAACCATTAACCTACCGACAATAAATATTAAACAAAACAAGTTTTCACTAAAAACGGCCTCAAGCTCATAAAAATTGTTGAACAAAATAAAGAAAAATAGCCGAAACTAATCAAAGTCTCATGTGCCTTTTATTTTTCACAAGACTGTATGTACATACTTATAAATGGCTCAAGGAAAAATCATACAACTCACCTTAGGTCCTATTATGCCCGGCGCGCCAGGTGGCCCAATCGGTCCAGGTTCGCCAGGTGGTCCAGCAGATCCTGGTGGTCCAGTTTCGCCAGCAGGACCAAGTCCGCCATTCAAGCCAGGTGCGCCTGGCTCACCAGGTGGTCCGGGTGGTCCAGGTGGACCTGGTTCGCCAGGTTCACCCTGAGAATAGTAGTAAAAAAGAGAATAGAATTAGTATGAGTGGTTTACACAAGATATGGAAAAATCTTCTAAAAGCACATTTGTCTACTATTTAATGCGGAAATGTGCGTGACATTAAAGAAAAACACTTGCAACGCATGCACATGCAATCGAATTTAAAATTAAAGCAAGAAATTTAAGCATTTATGTATTTAGAACCTAACTACAATATTGAAAATAAAACCCATTTATTTAAAATATACACACACATTCATTCATACATCTATTTACTTACATACATTTGTATGTATGTGCATATATGTTTATTTTTTTTGTAAGTGTTTTGCATTTCAAACGAATTTTGATGAAATTTTCTTATTTCTTATTTTGAGAGTGCATAATAAAGTTTGCAAGTGACCAAATGGCATAATAATATTCACACCTAAGAGTGCACATATGTACTTGTAGTATGTGTATATGCGTATACGCTTACTTATGTATGAGAATATGCATATTCAAAACTGCATACGTTTTCCAGCCTATTAAATAATGCATTTACTTGTACGCTTGCGTTTGTACATATTTAAGTAATGGATTTGTCGTGATTATCTGTGTGCAAGGATGTGAAAGTGTTACCAGCACTTACCTTCAGTTGTATGACAGTGGCGGCCGACACATTTACACCGGCTTCTTGTAAACCCTTACAAATAATAAAAGCAAAAACAAAAGATTATGAAAAACTAAGAAAATAATATTTTTTTTTTTTTAAATTAAGTTAATTTAAAAGCATAGGCTAGCAAAAAATATTGTAAATATAAATCACACATAAATTATTTCCAATTGAATATAATTTATTAAAACAAATGTTATACAAATGTAAGAAACCAATAGACGCTACTGAGTATTTCTTTAAGATTAACACCACTGTATTTGATTTTTAATATTTTTTTTTCAATTTTCTTTGCTAGAAATAAACGCTTGAATTTCTTAAACGTTTCTTAAAATATAACTTTAGCGATTTTCCTTTCAGTTGAACAAAATATCGTGTGTATGTATTAGTGATTCACAGAACCGCGGAACCGGATTCGAAGAACCGGGTCCTTTAATTAACCTAATGGTCTGCGCTTTACAAGAATCGAAAAACTGGTCTAAGGGAACTGAAACTCGATTCCAAAAGACTCGAAAAACTGTTTCAGCAGAACCGAAGAGCGACTCCAAGAAACTCTAAAAATGGAACCGAAAACTGGTCCCAGTGAAACCGAAATATATATGGATGGATGGAATGATTTTAAAAAAGAACTCAGAACTTCGATTAAATATACTAATTTAAAGTGCAAAATCAATTTTGTGCTTTAGGTTTTTTGGAAATTTTTCTGTTATCCTTTCAGTGCCAATTTCAATATCCAAATGTATATGTAAAAGTGCTACACCTGTCAACATGGTACAGCATGGTTTTAACCGGCCAAGGGTTGAAGAACTTCTTTCTGCAGTAGCGTTACTTCGAGTAGCTTCAATTGAGCCTTGTCGGGCAACATTTGTTAATGGATATATGTACATATTTTGAATCCTTGTCTATAAACTTCTGTTCGCCAATGTCTGTCTTCTTCCGCTATTTAAAGTCGAAGTTTGAGATACATACTTCAAAGAGGATTTCGAGTGTTCGCATTATCAAAAATCGGTAAGTATGATCGAATATTATTTGGTAAAAAACTCGCTTTTACTACTATTTTCTATTTTTTCATTTGTAAAAATAGCTTAAGAATATAAGCAAAAGAATGCAGAAAATGTTTGAGTACCGCGGTTTACTGTAGTATATGTCCTCAAATTTTAGAGCTCTCAAAAGAAACTTTGAAGGACTTTATATCTGACAATACTTAACACTCTCTACTCAGCTTCGCATAACATACATACTTACATATTTATTTGCTTATATAAATAAAAAGTATAACAAAAATATGTATATAGAATTTGATTTTTTTTTTTAATTTATATACTTAAATAGGTAATCTTTTGTTTAGCTATTTCGATAGAGTCTAATCCTGTTACAACTCTTTTGAGACCCGGAATCTGTCTAAATATCCGGTTATCCTTGGATCACTTGGCACTTGGCACATCACTAGAATGTGTGAAGTCCTAGCTTCAAAAGAAAAAAGTCAGAATCTTTATGCTGAAAAGCCTTGCGTTCATGTTCATACATACGCACTCATGCATTTGTACATATGGATTTGCCAACATACTTATGCATGTTTATTCGAGAACATATCCTACGTAGGTATGTCTTAAAAACTTTGTAAGCACACACTTTACTTTTGGCCATTTGCAACATATGTGTAAAAATTTTCCGTCTGAAAGATTTCATAACATTGACTTGCAGATGCTGCCACATGTTCAAAAACTGCGGAAAAGACAGTCAAAAATGTATTTACGTTTACTGTTGGATTGCATGTACTATGCAGCATATTGGTACAAATGTGTTTAGAAATTCGCGATTTAACAAAATGTCAAACTATCGAATGTGGATATGAATATTTTTCAGGATAGCAAAAAAACTGTTGTAAAAAATGTTGTTGTCATTAGGAAAAAGTGTGGGATTCGACACTTTGGTAAAGCCAATAACATCTGCTTCTAAGAAGACTAGACATTTTACGATTTGCTAGCTAGCGTATCATTCTAAACCAGGGTTGTTGCGAATATTGTTCCGAAATAAAAGTCATTTCCGAATAATAAACAAACCGCTTTATATTATCTAAGAAATTTACGAACTTCGTTGACGTCAGAGAATTGGGAAGATCACATTTTGCTACAGGGAGTATTTCGGAACTTTGTACTGAAAATAATCTATGTATGAATCTCTAGGCATTACCTATCTATATGCTCTTTTTTCAATATTTCACTAGCGGTACCCTCTTGGTATTCGTATATAATAGCCTGGTTTTAGAAAATTTTAATGATTAAATATATGTATGTATGTATATTCATATACATATATGTAAATATGAAAAACCAACTTGTCCCAGCCTTTTTGCTCTTATAATGATTTTGGACAAAAAATTGATAGTTTTATCCATAGTGCAGTGACAGCACATCACAATTGTATCGTCGCCATCATTTCTCTTGTCCAGACACATAAATATACACATATTGCATACTAAAACTCTGCACCTTCATTTTTTTATATTCAAGATAACATAAAGACTCGACAAATGGCCATAAAAGGGTGAAGAATTGAAACAAAGTGCATTGATGTAGGCGAGGGAAAATGGTGAGAAAACGTATGTAAATATTCGCTTGAGCGCAAATGTATGTACATATGTAAATGTATGCATAAGCAAGTGGACTTTAAATAGTAGTGCTAAAAGCGAGTTGCATGAAATTAATAAACAGTCGTATGGAAAAAAATAAGGACCGTTAGATAGACTTAAAAAAAATTACTAAGATTTTTTCTACTTAATCCACAAAAAAGCATTTTAAACATTACGCAAATCAAATAAATTTTGATAACATATCTTTATCTGCCTTAAAGATTTTTCTCATAAGGTATACAATTTTTTTTCAGATTTTATTTTTAATATTGTTTAGAGGTTTGTACCACTATTATGTTTATTAAGAAAAATTGAAACAGCAACAAAGTCTAAGCGGTAGGAGCAGCTTTAAGATGGTTTGACTTTGAGAAATTTGCAAATGAAAGAGGTTTTTGATCCTAAATATACTGCACTTATGTATGTGCTTTCCATCTCAATTCAAACAGTCGATTCGGGACCTGATTTGAAATCAGCTAACAACATGAATATGGCCTACTTTGGGCTTCAAGACCAGAAACTCAATTCTTCTAAATAGGTTTTGTCCATGCATTAAGGGCTGTTTCCAGCTCTAAAGAAAAAAGTTAAATAAAATTAGGCAGAAGAAATGGAAAACAAATTTTCTTCTGTCAAAATGTCTTAATCGGTTTGCAGCTCTCAAGAGAAAAATTTTCTAAAAACTCCGAAGTTTGACTAATTTTTGTGAAATAGGTGCAAGTTTTGAAAATTCTCATTAAAAATTTTGATGAGCATTTTTTGAAGTTTCACTAATTTTTGTGAAATTTGTGGAAGTTTTGAAAATTCTGATTAAATGTTTGAAATTTTGATGACAATTTTTGAACTTTGACAAAATTTTTTTTTGAAATTTGTGCAAATTTGAAATTTTTATTTATGTAATTTTTGTTAAAGATTGAATTATAGTTTATATGAAATTTATAAAATTAAATAACTAACTTTAAATTGGAAACAATATCCTTTTGAATGTTGGTGCTAAATCTTTGACCATAGCTGTATATGACACCCTTATATTGACAAATTTTGACAATTTAATTTTAATAGTTTTTTTTTATAAATATATGGTTTATTCTTTGACAAAAACCCTATAAAACTAAGTGGTTTCAAAATAGTTTTAAGCTTGCGAAATGTAACGGAACAATTTAAATGATTTATTTTTACTCATGAATAATTAGTTATTAACATAATTTTCAAATTACAGAGTTAAATTTCTCAAGGCTTCTCAATTGTTATCAAATCAAAAGTGGTCAACTTCACTTCTTACGGATCAAAGCAGTATCCCAATTAACCAAAATCATGATAAGCGAACCCATAACACTAGTAGTAGAGTTTTTACTATTTTCATGGTAAAGAAACGAATTTTCGACGCTTGGATTTATAGCTGGAAGGGTAGCTGAAATACTATATACAATCTAGAAGATTTTTCGTGCATACAAAAATGTCCATCGCAGTACTCCAACAATTTTAAGATAATCGTTGTCGATGCACGGAACAAATACTGCAACCCAGAGATATTCTTCCGCAGATGAAGCTTGTGGATTAGCATTTTCTAATAAGACCTTTGGAGTATAGAGTACAACTTCAAATGAATCTTAAAAAAACACTGGTATGCAGATCCAAAAATTCCCTTGAAAAATCTATTGGACAATGGCATAGTCAGGCGGAACATGTAGGCGGACTTCAAAATTACTGCGGAAATGATATATGTAATATTTGACAAAGCCGGAAGACTGATTATAAATTGGGATAAAGTTAATGAAATCCTTGAGTTGCACGGGAGTTTTTTAATCCTGTATCAAGCTTGCTGGCAATAAAATAATCATATTTATTGCACTAAAAATGCACTTAAAAAAGGCGCGAGTACCAGGTGCTAACAAAATTTGATGTGTAAACATATGTATATGTTCCGAGATAGACCCGAAAAAGTCTTAAACTAGTCTCGATCTGAAGTCGAAATGATCCCGACGAAGTCTCCAATTAGACCTGAAATGGTCCCGAAGTAAACCCAACAAAGTTTCGAACCATCAATGAGCAGTGTTGCTGATTAGCTCTGTTTTCCTTTGTACTACTTCTGAACTCGTCTTGGCTTACGCGTGACGGTTTACGCAAAGTTTCCCTATAGCGGCAGTAAGGATATTGTATGGAAGCATAAATTTTATAGGAATTTGTAAACATTCGGAAGGGGCTTCTGCCCTCCCTTGCAAAGGGCCTGTATAGAAATGTCGCTTATTTTTGATTTCCGAAATTTACCCTTTTTAATTATTTAATTATAACTCGTTCAGCATTTAACGAAAATCAGTTAAGCAAAGATTAGTTTTTTTCTCAATGGATTTCAAACAATTTAGAGCTGTTTTGTAAACTTTTAAAATTTAAAAGGTACTTGAAAAAATCGCCCTGCGAGCAATTAAAAAAAATTTCGAAATCATGTCGTTGAATCGCCCAGTTCTGAAGATTTGCCATATACATACATATGTACATATATTCAAGTATATTTCCATATATATGTGTGTGCGTATTGTTAAGTAGTGTGGTAGTGTCCTTTTAAACAAAAAAAAATAAAAACTCGTGTGAAAAAATTAATTCGAAAACAAAAAAGATTTAGTTTTTTAATACAGCAATTCCGACAGAGATAATCACTGTAAAATACTTTGCGGTTAACAGTTATACATATGTTAAACACCCAAGGACTAAGTAAATATGTAGGTACTTACTTATGTTACATCTATAACTAGATATGTATGTAAGTATGTAAGTTAATGTGTACTTCATAACATTGCTTTGAACGACAACTACAAAAACGTTGAAAAAACTACAATAAAAAGTTATTATCAAACAAAATAAAAAAGTTTAACCAACAAATAAAGTAAAACTAAAATTCGCTATAAAAAGCGAGCAATAAAATGTTGAGAAAAAAATTCAAGTACGCTACTTCAAACTAACTACAAATTGAAATTGGCTGCGGTTAGTGAACCGTTCGTAAGCCAGCCATTTGTGAGTGAAAAAAAGTGCAACAAAATAAAAAACTAGCAACAACTATTGTAAAAAAGTTTATAGTGTGAGTGTTGTAATACCTTGACAGCAACAATTTCAGCATAACCTAAAGTGCCGCCATGTAACGTGGTTACCGATCGTTTCAAACCCTAAAAACGAGTTATTTATGTATTTATTATTAATTAAAGTTGTTGAGGAAAAAGGCAATGCAAGAACTTTTGAATTTAAATAATGTAGGTACATATATTTTCAGCGAAAAAATTCAATAGCACTGTACTTTTTAGTAGAAGCGCTGATTTTTCATTAATTTAAAATTATTTGCCATACAAGAATTAAAAATTAATTTTAATTATTTACACTGCCGCTTGCGCATGCCACTTACCTTCACCGTTTGAAAGACATCAATGCCCGGATGGCCAACATCACCCTTTTGACCTTTGTCGCCCGGTCTGCCCGCAGCACCCTTCTCGCCATCGACGCCATTTATGCCCTGCAGTGAGAAAACATAAATATTTTTTTTTTTGCCATTATCTTATTGCGGGTGCATATTTTTTGTTTACTTACCGGATCACCCTTTTCGCCAGGATCGCCCTTCTTGCCACGTTTCCCCCGTTTGCCTGGTGGCCCTGGTGGTCCAGGTGGTCCTGCAAAAAGACAGAGAAGAGGGGAGAAAACTATTTTAGTGGTGCCATAAAAAAGCACAACGACATTTATTATTATTGCCATAAAATTGCTATTTCAATTTAAAGTTTAGAAGATTAAGTGGAAATTCGCCCGAAAATCCGAAGTGCAGGCTTGAGGAGATGGCAACTGTTTTTTTTTCGCCTCAAATGCACTTTTCTTTGCATTGCAGCATCATCAATGGGGCGCTTGCAGAGTTGTCGCACCATCGCTTTAGCGCAGAGGAGATGAAGGTGCTGCTGTAAGGCGCGCACCATTTATTGTGCGGCAATCGACTGCTCGCTGTGCGGCGGCACTCATTAAACTTCTATTGAAGCCTCAAAAAGTGTAGACGCAGCCGTGCAACAGTCGCGTGACTTACTGTGGCTCGAACAGCGAGAAAACTTTAATGTAATTGCGGTAGCACTTAATTTCGCAATGACTTTATTTATTACGTGCCCTCACTACCCTAACTACCCTAACAACAAAGAAATGCACTGAATGCCGCATAGAAGCCAAATTGCATGGCCAATGCAGCGCGATAAAGTGAAAATGTAATGAAAAAGCTTTTTAGCTTTCGCTGAAGTTGCACTTTCCACGCTTATTCACGATTTTTGCAAGTCAGTAGTGTCTGAGTTGCGTAATTACGTACATGCGGCAATACTTTTACCACTACTGCTGCGGAGAGCAGAGGATGCGACGAATGTCACAGTAATCGCCGCCTGCGCTCTAAGGTTTCTTAATTTTCATTACATAACAAACACATTAAATCTACATTTCAAACTTTTTACAAAAATTATAAATATTCACCAAGATTTAAATCTTTTTATGCAATTTACAGAAAATTTTGGTATGCAGTTTTATAGCCCTTTCAATTTTAGATTAATAAAAATCGCTAAAATTCAACATATTTCTAAATATTGTCATCAACAATTCAAACTTTTTACTCTTTTGAGTATGCAGTTTTATAGACCAGTACCAGGTTGTCAGCATGTATACACTTTTTAAAATGTTCAAGGTTGGATATCAAATAATGGTCCTTGGATAGCTTTAATTTAAAAATATTTTTTACATAATAGTGTTAAATGCATTTTTTACTTAACATAACGCCTATTATGTCGGTGAAAAAAATATTATCAATGCTTATATCTATATTTAAGCCTAAGAAGTACCTCAGTAAAACATATTGAAAATAAAAAACTTTGAAAAAATAATGTTAATTATCAAAAATATTGTCAATATTTTTACCGAATCAGTGCCTCAGAAGAAGTGAAGCTAATAAAAAAAAAAATTCTTCATGAATCTATTGAATGTAAAAATATGTGACATCAATTAGGTGGCACCCCTATTAAGAAATGCGTCAGGTTGAAGAGTGCATAGTTTGAGAGCAAAAAATGTTCAATGAAATTAGTATGATACAAATTGGTGTTAAAAAAAAACGTGGCAACCCTCAACGGAAATATTTCTTCATATTACGATATTTTAGTGGAATTATGTAGAATCGGAAATAAGTGATAACCTTGCACTAACATCTTAAGGGACAACACTTACTATATAGGCATTGTTTAAGAGCTATCTTCCAGCACCCATAAAGAATAGTATTGTATCTTAACTTTCTAAACAAAAAACGAAATAAATGTACGATAGAAAAAAGGTGGCAACCCTACTAAAAAAAAATTTCTAAGTTGGGGATTTTCGAAGCACTAACTAATATTGAAGGCGTGGAAACCTTATACTAATATTTTCGAAGATAACACCTATCTATATAACCTTTAAATGAATACAAAATATACAAGAATTGCTCGTTTAAAGTAATAAGTTTTAATTTGGTTCAAAGTGAAAGTTTTAAGTTTCTAACAAATAGCTTTGATTTTGGATAATTTACTTTGCTGAAAGTGTTACGCATTTTCTTCCATACAAAGTATGCTCAAAAATCTCCTCAGCACTGTCAGCAAAAGACATTGAAAATTTAATATTTTAGTAACTTAAAACTTCCACTTTGTTAAAATAAATATTAGTGAGCTATAAAACTGCTCACATTTTTTCTAAATACTTTCGTTAAAAATTTCGAGTTTTTTATGAAACTTTGTTAAACTTTTATAATTTATGAAAAAATGTTTAAATGCGGATTTGCATGATTTCTGTTACAAAATAAATTTTTAAACAGTATAATTAAACATTAAATAAGCAAGTAAAATTTGCCAAAAATGGTCAAAATGGTTCCCTATTTTTTAACATCACTGTATGTGTAGTTTTTCGCATACGCTCTTCAAAAGTGCATTAATTTGGGATTACTAAAATTTCATATTGTGTGCTCAATTAATTCACGGGACGTAAAATTAGGCTGCTAATAAGCTTTTTAGCATAATTTTCTTCTAATTGGTAGAACATTTTTGAAGTTACCCATGCGATTAACATGATCTCTGAAAAAATATTTTTTGAGACAATTCTGAGTTAATGCACTTGTGAAGCACGAGCGCGATGTGTATTGTAATTGAGCGCTTATTGTTTCACATACGCTCCGGGCAACGAAATTGCGCTGGCGATTAAATAAATTAGGTGTGAAAATATTTAATTAAATAACAGCAGCCGTCAACAAAGAGCAACGACATAAGGAACGCCCAAAGAAAACAGACTTCTACTTATGTGATAATAGAAGTCAAGTTGAAAAAAAGGAAAGATTTTGTAGTAGAAAATAAGCAAAGATGTGTTGAAAATTGGGTTAAAATTTCCCAACATTTAAGCGGCAACTCGAGTGTGCCGGCATTAAGCGAATAACCCGCAAAAGAGCTGGCATTAACAGCCGCAGCACAGACGCACCAACATTTACAGCAGTACATAACACCAATAGAGAGCAACAATAACAAAAGACCAAAAGTTGTTTTTTTTTCTTGTTGACGGTTGCTAATCCAGTACTTGCCGTACTTGCGAAAGTTACAACAAAGGCAACGCAGTGAATAGCAGCAAAAATGATGAGTATGTTGAAACACCAAAAACAATTTGGAATACTCAACGCAAAGGGAACAACAATAGCTGGAATTTTCTAACTACTATCTGTGAAGTAGCAGCATCGCAGCCAGTTTGTAGCGCAAATCGCTTCAGTCAAAAGTAATCAAGGCAATTAAAGACTTCATTAAGCGACTCCAAGCCAATATGGATAGAATTCTAGCGACTTTACGTAATTGTTATATTTAGATAATTTTCATTGAGTTATAAAAGTTGAAATTAGCTATGAGAAAAATACTGCAGCACTGTTTCTGCAAGTGTGCGTTTGTAGTAGCGCAACTTTGGGTTTGGGAGCAGAGAAATAATTGAAATCCACTAAATACTACAAATTGCTTAAAGTAGCTAATTTATGTTTAGTCTCGTTCCAAACGATTAGGTGCGCAAGAGACTATTATAAAATCCGTGCAATAGAAACTGTCAAACTATGCAAAAATGTGTCAGAATGGAGTTGAAAAGAACCCAAGTTTAGGTCCAAATAGTATACAACCTAATAAAATTACAAATATTTTGAAATAAATATTTGAATTACAATGCAAAACCACATGTCTGAACAATTAGTTGTATGGGAGTTATATGTTATAGTGAACCGATTTCGATAATTTTCAGAAATGGTTAAGGTAGATAATATCGAAAAACCATCACACAGCACAGTGTTATAAGCGACGAAAATTTCACCGTCAGAACTCTAAAACTTCCCTCATATATTCGTTGATTAAAAACGAGAAAGCGATTAGTCGCACAATAGTACTTCTAACTGAAATCATGTAGAGAATCCTTCCTTTACGATAAACAAGAACCGTCGGTGGTATTAGCAGCAATGTGCTAATTTCAATAGTTTTTAATTAATTAAAAATATTTCCTGTCGAATTGAGGATATTTTGTTATAAGCATAACTTTTTTATCAAAGTGGCATATCAATTATCCTTTATGGAATTATTTCGGCTTGTCTGCATTAAAGTTGTCAAAGTTGTATGCATCCACTCGTAATTAAATCAAGTAATGGAGATAAGTTGATAAGGTATAAGAACAAGAGCATGAAGCTGGAAAGCAAAGCACCAATAGTAACTTCGTAGTTGAATCGATGGCTCTGACATCTGGTAATTACTTATAGCAGTCATATCTTTATATTTAAGTAGCATCCAGGAGCTATTTTAATTGCGGCGAAATCAAACAATCAAGAAGAGAACAAATATGCAAGAAGTATCATAAAAGATCACCATAGTTTAATATTTTTCTTTTCGGATTATGAAGGAACTGAATTCTATTTATATACATATACACACTATAATATGTACATTAGGGTGGAAAAAATAAAACAAATTCGTAATTTTAATGCTCTCACCCCCTAGGACTGTTCTATATCGAAAAATATACCCGCGTTTTTTATTTTGAAATCAAATGGTATTTAGAGGGCGCTCAAAGCGCTTAAAATTTTCCAGGTATTTTATATGAGAAAAAAACAACTTTTCGTAAAAATGGTATAAATTCCTGAAAATCAATATTTTTCGATTTAAAAACTCTGATTATCTTCAGGAGACTTCCAATAACTCCAACAACAATTCCCAATTGGAAGGCTAATAAATAATATAACAAGCTGTCACCAGAATAAGTTTCATGTGATTGTCATGAGTAGTTTAACTACTCATTAACTTAACTCTTAACTTGCCAAACCCGTATTTTCCCGGATGAAGTTTAGGTTTTATCAAAAGTTTCCGCGCATATACCATATGTACTTTTAAAGAATCATCCTTCGGTAAATCTTAACGTACTGTAGTCTATTTGAGTTTCGGCAACACAGTTGATTTTGAAGTGAAAAAAGGATATATGGAAAATTAAATGAACCAAATCGAACCACATCTACTTTTTTTTGAGAATATCTAGAATATCTTATGTAGCCTTTCAAAATTTGGCTGATACGGTTATTATAAAAATTCAACTTCAATACCAACTGCAGCATAATTTTTCGTTTTTAGGAAAT